TTGCGCGCCTCCTCCGTTGCTACCGCCTGCTGGGCCAGGTTCATGAGCTCGCGGATCATGCAGGCTATGAGCACCGTGCGAAGGGGGGATTTGAGCTGCTCCGGCTCCAGTGACTTCTTGGCCTTCCAATCGCGAGAGATGCGCATGAGCGTGCCCAGCGTGCCGTTGGCGTCGTTGCGCAGGAACAACACGAAGTTCTTGTCGTTGCGCAAGCGGCTGATGATGTCCTCCTGCTGCAGGACGACGCGGCCGAGCAGGTTGATGTGATTCTGGAGTGGATGCATCGGCCGTGATGGGGGCGGGCCTTCGCGGTGATGCGGCTGGCTCGGTCGCTGTGCTGGCGGCATGCTCCAGCGGTGTTGCTCCGGTCTCTGGCGCTTCTGAGAGCGGCCGTCCTCCAGGAAAGGCTCTGGCCCGGTCCATAGGTTGGCAAAGATCTCGGCCTCCTCGTGGGCAAAGGTGTCCATCGTCAGTGGATCCCCATACATCCTGACAGTGAAGCACGGCCAGGATGAGCTGCACTAAGGGAGTACACTGTTGCGTGTGGCGTTTTGGGCCGCCGACGCGATGGCCGCACCAGATGCACGAGCTGTCCCGGCGTAGATGACTTTTGAAGGAGGTACAGAGGTCCAGGGCCCGGGGAAGTAGGGTAGGGTTGTTCGGGCCATGTATGCGATTGTAGTGTTGCTTCATATGACGATAGTCTGCAACCCACATGTGGCATATAGCACAGTAGTTCTTGAGCTCCTGGCGTAGCTCAGGCACAGACAACCACTTTTCCCAGTTTCCCAAGCTTGCAAGAAAAGCTTGACGCTTGATCAGAGGCAGGTGCATGACATTTTCTTCCGCAAAGACTGCAAGTCCCGCGGTGGGAGGCGGTTTGATCGGCGCAGGTGCATGCGCCTCCGAAGGTGGCGCGCGAATCATGCTGTCGCCTCCCAGGGCTGCACAGGCTCCAGTTTCAATGTGGAGCTTAAGGTGTGACCACCTGAAGAATTGGCGCTGGCAGAGACGGCAGGCCGGCATGCCTGCTGTGGAATGGAGCTCAGGCACGAACTCTGTAGGGTGGTGATTAAGCCTGGGGGGAAGCTGACCATGCTTGAGCTTACAATGTATCCGAACTGCATTCTCAGAGATGAACAGCTCAGAGCAGTGAGGGCAACTGATGGACGGTGCGCTTACCGCCTCGGTGGCGAGAGTCTGGGCAGCTTCGAGGAGCAGCGCCTCGAGACGGCCGGCGAGGACGTCAACATGTGCAAGAGCTTGGGGAGTGCTGGTAATGTCGGTCCCTGATGCGGCTGTTTGCTGCAATTTGGCTTGATGCTGTAGCAGAGCACACTGTACGGTCCAGCCTGGCATCGGCTGGCCAGCTTGATGCCACACGGCTTGATTGGTGATGTGCGTCAGGTGAGCCGGCACCCGGAGGATGGCACGAAGATGCCTGGTAAGCACCGTAGTTAAGCGCTTGAGGGTTTTAGCGGTCACTCCGACTACATGCTGGGAGTGCATAACGCTGGAGCAGACACATGCTTTCCACAGTCGGATGCGATGATCCGTGTCTAGGGCATGAGCCCCGTTCAGCAGCTTGCGGAGGCCCTGGTAGTTGGCTCGGGCGGCCTTGATGCGGTGCTCCATGTTGCGTTCAAGCCGACTATGATAGGTCACTATGGTGCCTAAGTAGACGTGCTGGTCCCGTATGGGAATGGCTTGTTCACGACCGTGCACCCAAAGACGCAAGTGAAGCTGCCCCGCCTTCATGAAGGTGTGGTTCCGTCGGAGTTTCTTGGACTCCTTGCCAACCAGGTGAAGAAGGATTGCTGTCTTATCAAAGTTGACGATCATATGAAGGGACTCAAGAGTTTCAAGAATGAGAGTGATGTCAGCAAGGGCTTGTTGGAAGTCAGCCGCCGAGGCAATAACCCAAGCTCCCCAAGCATCATCAGCAAAGAGTGACAACACCCGCTGAATCCAAGACAGATCCCTCTGATCGCGCAAAAGAAGAAGAAAAGCAAGGGAGAAGAAATTCCAAAGATAAGGCACTATCACACAGCCCTGCTTGATTCCATTGGTGGTGAGGGTAGAACCCTGACTGTCACCAACCCGGTAGATGTACCGGGCTCGATGGTGCAATTGCTGAACGATTGTGATAACGGAAGAGTCGACGCCCTGTTTCTTCATTTCCTGGTAAATGTGAGAACGTGTGACCCCGTCGAAGGCCTTGGACAAATCCAAGGAGAGGCTGACGCCTCCGGCGCAGCCGCGCGTTTTCTGGCCAGCCTGCTGCTGAATGCGAGTGGCACGGGTACGGCTGACAAGCCCAGTGACCTCTTCAAAGTGTCGATGAGCTTTGGCTATAGCATCCGCAGTGCCCCTGCTACTGGTGTAGGCAAACTGAGGCATACAGGATAACCAGGGGGCAAGTGCGCCTAGCAATTGTGTGCGGAGACTGCCAGCCAGGGCTTTACTTGCCGGACTAGATAACCCTATGGGCCTCAGGGATGAGATGCCTTGTGGGGGTTTATTGGGCTTGGGAATCCAGACCACGCTGCAGTCCTTCCAGTCTGTGTCCAGGGAGGCACTGGTGCCCCGTCGAAGATGCCGAGTCAAGGCATGACTCAGGACCTCACCCAGGTCAGAAGAGCAGAGCTTCCAAACTGCGGAAGGGGCAATGTGCTTGGGGACAGCCTTGGCAGGCCCAAGTTTGGACAGCTCAGCTGCCAGGTCAGCGGCAGGTATGACTACATCCTGGGCGAGGGGGAGTATCGGGTGATCATCATGGTGCTTGGCAAAGGTGGCATTACCATATTGGATGATGGCTTCTAGCTCCTCATCGCGGGTGAGGAGTCGACCGGAGTCGTCCCGGAGTCTTCCTGCCAGTTGGCGGGTGCGCGGAGACAGCCTACGAACAATGAGGTGTAGGCCTCTTTGATCCCCTCGGCTGGCCGCAAGTTCGGCGTCCTCAACCTGCCCCTGAAAGAATTGCTTCTTAAGCTGCTGACTGCTTTGGCGGAGGGCTTTTGAGGCTCTGGCGAATTGAGTGGCAAGTCGCCACTTGGCGAAGATGTTGCGGAAGGTGCACACACCTGAGCGCTTGAAGGCGTGGTAAAGGCCCCACACAGCCCGGGCAGTGACACGAAATGCAGGCTGAGCACTGACGCGGTGGTCTGGAGCAGGCTGAGCCGGAAACAGCGTGCAGGTCTCCTCTAGAAGGATGCGATTGACATGCTGGTGTGCGGTTGAAAGCACGGACGCATCGACGTCCTGTAGCCGAAGGCTGACGCGGTGCTGCAGCTCCTGAGCCAGCGGGGCTCCGGAGCGCACTGCGGAGCACAGGGCTTGTGCATTGTATGCAGGCGTTTGTGCTGGGCGGGTGCGCCTCCAGGAGAAGGGCCGAATGGGATAGGAAACCCTTATGGGGAAGTGACCGTTAAGTCTATCACTGCCTACAGGAAAGGCATGATCAGGGTAGGCAGTACGGGCGTGATGGCCCGTGTCAGTGCAGCACGACAGCACATAGTCAATCTGGGTTT